GGCGCATTACGTTGCTCGAGGCTTCAGTCGGCGTCAGGGAGTTGACTACTTTCAGACCTTCTCCCCCACCCCGAAGATGACCACTCTTCGGGTGCTGCTGCACGTCACTGCTCAGCGTAACTACGAGCTCCACTCCCTTGATTTCAGCACTCCTTTTCTACAGGGTAGCTTGCACGAGGAGATCTGGCTGTGCCGCCCACCTGGCTTTACTGGGTCGTTTCCTCCTAGTACACAGTGGATCCTCCGACGGCCAGTCTATGGTCTCCGCCAAGCGCCTCGCGAGTGGCACGACACACTGAGGATGACCCTTGCGGCTCTTGGCTTTGCTTCTTCTGCTGACCCGTCGATGTTTCTTTGCACTGACACTTCGCTGCCGTCGTTCTACATCCTCGTGTACGTCGACGACTTGGTTTTTGCCACTGCTGACACTAAGGCACTAACTCTACTGAAGTCGGAGCTGCAGAAGAGACACACGTGTACAGACCTCGGTGAGCTGCGCAGCTATCTTGGCTTGCATATCACCCGAGACAGAGCACGGCGCACCATAACCTTGACTCAGTCACACATGGTGCAGTAGGTCCTTCAGCGCTTTGACTTCCAGTACTCCTCTCCACAGGTCACTCCTCTGCCTACCGGTCACTCGCTCTCAGCTCTGCCTTTGGATGAGTCAGTAGAGCCGAGTGGCCCGTATCCAGAGCTTGTGGGTTGCCTCATGTACCTGATATCCTGCACTCGACCTGGCCTTGCTTACCCTCTTAGCATCCTGCACGCTAGTTGTGCCTGGGAGACACCGACCAGAGCACTGGAAGGCCGCTAAGAGGGTGATGCGCTACTTGTGCAGTACGTCGGGCATGGGGCTCGTGCTTGGAGGACGGGGTCTATTTGTCCTCACTGGTCACGCAGACGCTTCTTGGGTTGACGACTTGGCTATGCAGCGGTCGTCACAGGGTTACACCTTCAGCCTTGGTTCCGGCTTTGTTTCGTGGCGGCCTACCCGCTCTCCTTCGGTTCTCAGTTCTAGTTGTGAGGCTGAGATCTACGCTGGGGCCATGGCTGCACAGGAGTTACGCTGGCTCACTTACCTGTTGATCGACCTAGGAGAGCGGCCTCGTTCTCCTCCAGTTCTGTACGTCGACAACAAGGCCATGATTTCCTTGTATCAGGACCACGGACTAGAGGACAGAACGAAGCACATCGCTCTGCGTTACTTCTTAGCTCGAGAGTTGCAGGAGCGTGGACAGCTCCATCTTGCGCACGTGGCCACTCGGGCCAACCAGGGCTGACGTTTCATATTAGGCCTCCCTGATTCCGGGGAAAAATTTTCCCCTCTATTTTGAGTGCACATTTTCAGAATATTGCTACTCTGATTGCTCAGGGTTGAAAAGTATATAACTCTGATTGTTCAGGGTCGAAACTCGAGGATCAGAGTAGTAACGCGCCCTTTGTTACAGGGGAAAAAAGTTTCACCCCGCAGGATTCCATCACAACGCGACATCATTTCGTGCACACCTCGTGCGCTTTACTTTCAGACCTGTTACTTTTATTTAATTAGTATATCTCCATACGTTTTAGCGCGGGGAAGAAACGAGCAGTTTCGGTCCACCAAACAGTTCGGTACCAAAGATGTTTCAGAGAAACTTCTTTCCGATAAGGTCAAATTCAGGGTCCACAGAACGCGTACTCTACATTGACAGAGTCAGTAAGAACACTACTCTGAGCCTAGATACAATATTTCAGGGTTCGCTAAAGCACTATTCTGAATGGATCAGTGTTCACAAGTCACAAATTCTGAAATTGCAGGGTCCACCAAGTGAGAAGCCTGTAATCACCCTGAAATCAGGGTAATTACCCTGATATCGTCAGCCCTGGGGCCAACACCCTTGATGTGTTCACCAAGGCGCTTCCGCCTAGTGACAATTAGCGCTTCTGCACTGCTCTTGGCCTTATACCTGTTTCGTCTCACCTGCTTACCTCTTGATCTTGCGTGTACAGTGATCTCTATTATATACATGCATGCCTACTCTTGCTAGGTAGTGATCATTATAGTGTTTGCTAATAATTACATACACCGCATGTAAACTGGCCTTGTGGCCCTTTGCTTGTGCTCAGAGTGTGTGGTGACGTTGTGATCCACCCTGAGCTTGCTTTGCTTCTATTGACTGGTCTTGTGACCCCTTGTTCTCCCCCACTTTGTCTATGGGGGTGTGTCAAACATATATGCTTAGGTTATTTATCTAAGCTGTAGTGGGGTAGCCATTCTGGGGTACAAGCCCTTGCTTCTATTTTGTACTCACCTCTCTCTTTAGTGATCATTCACTGCTCCGACTATCTCGACCTGACCATTTGCGCACTGTATTCCGAAAAAAGTCAGAATTCACGAAACCGCGCGATCAAATTGGCAATTCAAAATTCCATGACGAACTAGGCAGCCCACCAGCCACCCCCTTCCATCCCAATCGTCTTCTATTTCATCCCATCACATTCCATCCCATATAATCCCATCCCATCCCCGTCCCACTCATCCCAACCATTTCATACCATCCCGTCCTCCGTACGGCAAGCCAGTACAGCAGTCTGTTGTTTTGGTTCGGACCTCCGCTCTACCTCCTGCTCAGTCAGACCCTTCCCCTCCTTCTAAGCCCCTGCCCTTGCCGCTCTCTCCTTTCCCTTGTCCCTCGCTTGCCACTGCTTCTCGTCGTATGCGTCCTCCTCCCTCTGCGCGGAGAATATCTCCCTCTGGTCGGACCAGTTCAATAATCGCGAGGCGCGCCGACTCGATTCCGTGCAGCACACTGTTACTCATCAGTCGTCGCAAGTCATCAAGAGCCGTCGCAGGCTGTCCGTCATGGTGTCGCATCGCAACCGCGAGGGGTGTTCCCTCCTCCTCCGTCTCCTTATCCGATACGCTCTTCTTCTGTGGTCCAACTTTCGATCCCACAACTATCAGCCATCAGCCGTCGGTCGTCGGTGCGCCGGCGTGCATTGCGTCGACGCCACTGTCTCTCCTAATTCGAGTCTTCGGTGTTTCGAGAAACTCGAGAATTTCAAGAGATTCAAGATTCTATAAGATACACGAGCAAGTAGCAAACGCCTCGGTCATCAGTGCGCGCACGCTACCACCAGGTCTACTTTACCACGCACCCCGCCGTGGCAACCTGCCGCCGCTTACCCACCACCACCGGGAGTGCTCTGAGAACAGCCGGCCCATCTTGCTGCCGGCCCATCTTGCAGCCGGCCCATCTTGCAGCCGGCCCATCTTGCTGCCGGCCCATCTTGCTGCCGGCCCATCTTGCTGCCGGCCCATCTTGCTGCCGGCCCATCTTGCTGCCGGCCCATCTTGCTGCCGGCCCATCTTGCTGCCGGCCCATCTTGCAGCCGGTCCATCTCGCTAGCAAGATGGTTGCAAAGGCTTTCAACCGTGTTCACCGCACTCTGCCTCTCGCCCTCGCGCGCCTCCCCGTCCCCCTCGTTCTCCGCCTCCTCCCCCTGCTGCTGCTCGCTGTGCGCCTGCCGCTGCGCTGCCGGGCGCAAACTATTACATGTGTAGCGGGTCAGCTCTGCCCTAACAACCTCTGCTGCAGGTGAGTTTTGAGACGAGTCAAAACCTAAACTATATCATTATCACGCGGATTTTATACGTAGAGGATGTTTGTGTGCCTACTGCCGCGCTGTGCTGCCGGGCGCAAGGCATGTGTAGCGGATGATCAGCTCCGCCCTAACAACCTCTGCTGCAGGTGATTGTGCATGCTGATGCTGATGCTGATGCTAACTCTGGTAAGCTCCCGCCGATTTTCCAGCCATAATCGAAGTCTGTCTTCACACACGCCCTAACTCTCAAAATACTCTCTCTCTCTCTCTCTCTCTCTCTCTCTCTCTCTCTCTCTCTCTCTCTCTCTCTCCCTCTCTCTCTCTCTCTCTCTCTCTCTCTCTCTCTCTCTCTCTCTCTCTCTCTCTCTCTCTCTCTCTCGCCCTCTTCCTCTTCCCCTGCTCCCCCCACTGCAGTGGCAGCCGCTGGGAGTGTGGCAGCACAGATGCGTATTGCGGTGCAAGCTGCGTTTCAGGGCCATGCTATGGTGAGAGGCAGAGCACACATGTGCCATGCTATGCTATGCCATTCTGGTTAGAGTTTCCCGTTGCCTGCATGCCTCAAGGCCCAATCACTGCACACGCGTCCTTGCATGATATGCCTCCGATCCCTTGCCTCTGTGTTCTTGGCTCTCGTTGCCTGCATGCCTCAATCCCTTGCGCATGCTTCAATCCCTTGCGCATGCCTCAATCCCTTGCGCATGCCTCAATCCCTTGCGCATGCCTCAATCCCTTGCGCATGCCTCAATCACTTGCGCATGCCTCAATCACTTGCGCATGCCTCAATCTCTTGGCTGTGTGTTCTTCCTCTATATCACTCACTCCCTTGCCTCTGTCCATTCCACTCCCCTCTCCCCCCAACCCCCTTTCTTGTGACGCCCCCTGTTTACCCTGTACCACCTGGTAATGCATCGTCAACAGCTCCACCAATACTACCATTATCATACTCATACTATCCCTTAGAACCACCACCACCACCATCACCACCACCACCATACTCATATGCACCACCACCACCACCATCGGATGTAACAGCACCACCACCAGTAACATACTCATATCCCATAACACCACCACCATCGGATGTAACAGCACCACCACCAGTAACATACTCATATCCCATAACACCACCACCATCAGATGTAACAGCACCACCACCACCAACACCATCATCATCATACCCATATGCACCAGCACCACCACTACCACCACCACCATCATCAGCACCATCGCCACCTGCTGCACCCACCACTGGCACCAGGCCGGCAGTAATAGCAGGCGCGGCAGTAGGAGTCATCGCATCGCTGGTGCTACTAGCTCTGCTCATCTTCTTCTGCTGCTGGCGCCGCCGCCGGCAGAACCAAAAGGAGGACTTCGTGCTGACGGACCCTGCCGCCATCGGTGCTATAGCCCCGATGTATGATGATGATGGGGTGGAAGTCGGAGGAGGAGGAGGAGGAGGAGGAGGAGGAGGAGGAGGAGGAGGAGGAGGAGGAGGAGGAGGAGGAGGAGGAGGAGGAGGAGGAGGAGGAGGAGGAGGAGGAGGAGGGCGCCTGAGCTTGAGCCTGAGAACGAGCAAGGGAAGCAAGGGGACCGGCGTGTGCCAGGAGTTCTCTCTGAAGCAGCTGGAGCGAGCAACAGCCGGCTGGGCAGAATCAAACCTGGTGGGCAGTGGGGCGTTTGGCGACGTGTACAGGGGAGAGGACCCACAGACCGGGGAGGTGTGGGCAGTGAAGCGCGCCAAGTTTCTGTCGAATGACTTTCAGACGGAGGTGGAGGCGATGGCGTCGAAGCACCACGCGCACCTGGTGCGCCTGCTGGGGTACGGCGTGTGCTACGGCTCGGCCAGGCAGCGCATGGAGCAGATCCTCGTGTATGAGTTCATGGCTGGCAAGGACCTTGATTACTGGATCGGCAAAGGTGCGTGTGGTTTGGGCCTGTTGTGGCGTGGGGCTTGTGGGTGTTGCTGCGCCTCAAAGGGATAGGTCGGCCAGGCGGCGCATGGAGCAGAGCAGATCCTCGTGTACGAGTTCATGGCTGGAAACGACCTCGACCACTGGATCGGGAAAGGTGCGTGCGTGCACTTGGGTGTGTGGCTTGTGTCGTGGCTGTGGTGTGGGGCATGGGGCATATGGAGGTTGAGGCGCCTCAAAAGACGGCTCGGCCACGCGGCGCATGGACCAGAGCAGATCCTCGTGTATGAGTTCATGGCTGGGAAGGACCTTGATTGCTGGATCGACAAAGGTGCGTGTGGTTGTGGCTTGGGGCATGGGGCATATGGCGTGTGGCGTGGGGCATGAGCTATTCGACAGATAACCATCTCAATATTCACATTCACCCGTTGAAATTTCTCCCCTCGTTTTTTCACTAGAACTGATTATTTCTCTCCCTCACGCTCTTCTCCTCTCTCCAGCCGCCCCGCGTCCACTGAGCATGCGGGAGCGCATGAACATCCTACTAGGAGTAGGCGCAGGTCTCCAGTACCTCCACTCATTCAACATGGTGCATCGGGACATCAAGCCCGCCAACATTCTCCTAGACGCCAACATGCAAGCCAAGGTCGCTGATTTCGGCCTTGTGCGGTGCGGCGAGGGCACCACGGTTATGGCAACGCGGGTGATGGGGTCGCCGGGGTACATGGACCCGGCTTACGTCCGATCGCAGAAGGCCACTCCTGCTGTCGATGTCTACAGGTAAGCCTTGCTTCTCGATTCTTGAATGTCGATCCTGCAATTTGCATCTAGAAACGGTGTTGAAGTGGTGGGCCCTTGCATTTGGCTCGACCGTCTCATTTGTGGTGGGTCAGTGAATCTTGATGCGCTGTCATGTCAGGGCTTTGTGTCGGCAGCGTGTTGGGACGTCTGTACTTGTTAGGTGCTTTGTTTTAGACGGGTTAGGTGCTTCAGTTCCTAAACCTACAGGGAATTAAACTTTACAGAGTGAGAATAAGCCCTGAGTGTTCTCATTCAGCTGCGGGCGCTGTAGTTTCTGCCTTTACCCCCTTCCCATCTCCCTTGTCAAATGTCAATTATCGGTACTTACGACTTCATTACGGTGGTCTTAATCATGTGAACCTGCCTTCATTGTGTTTCTTCATGATTTGGTCCCTCCTGTGCTCAGTTTCGGGGTGGTGATGCTGGCGCTGGTCACGGGGAGGAAAGCAACGGGTGGCGAGGAGGAAAAGGAGGAAGGAAAGGAGGAGGCTCCGTTCAACTTGAAGCAGTGGGTGGCAGCACGGGTGGAGCAGGGAGGCAATGACAACACAGTGGCAACAAGATTCGCAGATCCCAGCTTGGACGCCCCGCCTGCCCTGCTCCTTGCCCTGGCCCACCTCGCCCTCGCCTGCACCAACATGCGCACCGCTGCGCGCCCCTCCATGCTGCAGGTGCTTGCGGAGTTGCAGGCTCTCAAGGACCGTTACCTGGTTACCGCTCCCAACCGCATGCTTGTGCGGATCGATCAGGATGTGGAACCGGGAGTGGTGACTATGGATTTTGAAGCGGCGCTGAAATGTGCGGAGAGTGCTAGCCAATCAGGTTCTTGCGGGTCAATACTGTAACATGTGTGTACTTCATTGCAAGATGGTCTTGCTATGTCAGGTCTTGCTTGCTCTGATGATGGTTAGTGGAGGGGCTTGTATTAACTTAAGGTTTTTGTATTCCTTGAGCATTGCGTCAGGTTCAGTCCATTCATAGTTTACAGTTTCTGTGCTTAATCTTAAGTTTTGTATGCTTGGAATGGTGTACACCATTCTTTCTTCTCTTCAGTCGAACATTCTACACCTCACACGAAATTCGCAGTGCTTCCCACGCAAATGTTCCCTGCCTGATCGCACTGACAGCGACACTTCTCCGACCACATCGCACAAGAATCCTCGGTCAGTGGGTAGGGCAGGGAGAGTTTTGCTTAAATCCGCAGAATCATGGTTTGCTTCATTATCGCCACGTGGCAGCACTACGATCGCGAAAAGCGTGATCTGTTTTATTTTCCCCACACTTAAATGTGAAATCTCGTTAAGTTCGTTGGGTTCCATGTACTGGGCGAGTTCGAAACTTTTTGGAGAGGAACCAAAGCTACCGGTACAGTTTCTGTCAAATGTTGTAGTCTTAGGGCGTATTCCTACGACCTCCTATCAGGAATCCTCCTATCAAGAATGTAGTATGACATCGTGTACGTTATAAAACGCCAGTTATCAAGTTTTGGAATGATTGAGCGAACCAATAGAAATGGTCGCAGGGTGTCGCGCGAACGTGATGACTTCCCGGAACACGGTTCCCTCTAACGAACAGACGTCAGGCCAGGGTATGCAGCAGTCAACAATTCATGCCATGCTGGACGATGTGGCGGTCGTGCGGTGCGCGCGAACGTGTACGGAATGCAAACTTTGAAATGAATTTTCACACCTGGCGCCACGCGACACGTATACCACCCCCAGCACGTCAAGCACTTCACGAGGCCTCTCATCCAAACACACATGACACAGAGCACCCAACTCGCCATCATGCTCTCTATACATTGGTAGCTCCCATTCCTTGGCACGCAAAGCACCGTACATCCAACAACATGGCCCGAAAGCGTAAAGTATTCAGCCAGGCAGACGAACAATTATGGCGGCCAGAGGATCTTGCATATGTGGCGTGGATGAACGCCGAACTCGCGAATGGTAGACCCACAGCAAAGCCGTTGCGCAATGTAGGCCAGCCCCCCGCAAAGTCACCCATCACACCTCGCGCCACGCCCGGGACCAGTAATATCGGTCTGCAAGTCGACTATGACACTGACGAGGACGACACGGACAAGGACACTGCGGATGGCGACGACGACGAGGATTTCGAGTTCGAAGAACCGGACGAGGCGTGGTGTGGCGACGCGGAATATAGTGGCCCGCGTGATGATCGCCCCGTGGCGCCGGCCGCGGCAGCAGAGAAACGAGGCTCCAGCAGCCGCGTCGAGGCTCGCGGGAAGGGAAAGGGCAGTCACCCTGCTGGCGCGAATAATGCCGACTGTTTGGGCACAGGCCCGAAATCGGAATGGACGGCCAAAGAGTCCACCATATTGTGCGCCGCGCGATGGTTCACCAAGGAGGAGCTCAACCAAATGACGGGAAAACAGGGGTCGCAGTATTGGTTGCGCCTCATCGAACACATTAAGAAGCAGCATCCCGATTGGTGCAGGAATGCCACCGCCTGCGTCAATCAGTGGAAGCGACTTAAAGCGCTATGGAAGCATATCGAGATCGGGGATTCGGCATCTGGAGGCGGAACGGTGATAAAGCCGCCGTGGTGGCAGTGGATGGTGCTGTTTTACGAAGACACTGCTGCTGCCGAGCCTCACGCTCTGGATGGTGGCGGTGCAGTTAACGTGACAGTGGACCCTGGCGTCAAGGTTCCAAAGCCGCTGACTACTGCTGCCACAACAACACCTGGTATGTGTGTTGAATGCTAGGCCAATTTATAGCAAGTTGAAAATCCGAGCGTGAAAAAGTTGACGGAATGTTATGTAATGTCGCTTACACCGCAAAAGAATGACTGCTTGTGCTGCTATTCATTTCTACCCCGTAACCCTCCCCGCTCTTATCCCTAGTTCGTAACACCCCGCCCCATGCACGACGCCGTATTAATGAGACGGCGACCATGGCAGCTGCTCAACTGTTGGCCGACACATTCACAAAGTGCTCCCAGGAAGGCGTAACACAAATCACCGGAGTCATACGCGAGTGGATGGCCTCCCAACAATCAACAACAAGCCGTCCCCTCAACTTTGGAAGCAACCCAGCGGATGAATCAGGGCCGACCGGCTACAATACCGACGCCGCTGATGAAGTCACCGACGACGTGGAGGTGTGGCATCGCCGGTCCGACGTCGCTTAAGGTATTCCACATGCAGCGCCTCCCCGAGCCTCTTCCTCCTCTCCTTGAGATCGTGTGTAGTGACGGCAAGATCGGCGCACCAATTATACTGTGCAAGTTCTCCTCTCGTCCACCATGGGTCTTGGTTGATCAGCCGCGCAGCCCACGTGTGATTGATTGTTCTCATCCTGGAAGTTGCCATCTTGATGCCCATGTTGTGCAGTATGACAACACAGCTGGCGCCGGCAAGGACCCGCCATAACGCGCACTCGTGACGGCCGGCAAATAGGCGGTACCGTCCTTTCAACGCACCAATGGTTCGCTCCACGGGCATGCGAGTCGTGGACTGGCAGTAATTGAAGGTCTGCTCCCACTCGAGCATGAGGCGGCCAGTGGGAGCATGCAATGGCGTCAAGCAGTAGCTGCGGAGCGGGTAGGCGGCGTCTCCTACCAGCTGGTACGGTGCGAGGTCACCTCTTCGTAGTCGCTCATAGAGGCTAGACAGGACGAACACCCGCTGGTCATGGGCGGTGCCTGGATAGCCTATTAGGTAATCCCAGATGGTTCCTTTAGCGTCGCATGTCACTTGTAGTTGCACGGCATATTGTGATTTTCGCGTGTAATATTCCGCCCGATGCCCCTCCATCCCCCGAATCTGGACATGTGTGCCGTCAATAGCACCTACAACCATTGGCACCCCTTTAATATTCCGGAACTCTTCAGCCATGTCACGCATTTCATCCTGTGTCGGGAAACGTACCCAGGCCGCTTTGAAAACGGTGGGAAAGTTTAAGAGGAAGAGGTCTACGAGGTGATGGCACAGGGTTTTTGGCACACCGAACCAGAAAGCCAGGTCCACATACGCCATCGCGCTTGCGAAATACTTGATTGGTATGAGCACGGCCACTGTAATTGGAATGCGATGGCGCTGGATGACGGGGTTGAGCACGTGAGCCATTCCTTGACATACGTATTCCAGAATAGCGCGATTAATGCGGAACAAGTCGATGAACACCTCCTCGGGCATCGTCGCCATTTCGTCCTCCCACACGCCTAAGCGGCGCCGCCGTAAGCTTCGGTTTCGAGCACGTAATTCACTCCTCGTCACTACGACGGTATCTTCTTCCGCATTGCTTATCTGCTCGAGGAACTTAATGCAAGACTGGATGGCACTATTTTGGAATGTGTCGTAATAAAAGGCGTGCCATACTATAAACAACCTAGGCAGGAAAGGAACGTCCGTCATAGTCGTTGTGGTAGGCACTATTAGCAGGATTGCAGTAAGCTGCGAGCGTTTGTACTATTTCTACGAATAGATGGGAGGTTGTGGCGTGCATGGGCATGTGTTCGCGAGATGTTTGTTGACTTGTCCCCTTGGCACACTACGTGCTTACGTGGTGCTTTTTTTATTTGATCAACCTGGGTCGCAGCGTGCCACATCAGCGTTTGTTTTGGGTCGCACATGTGGGGAAACCGTCAAGTTTTGTTGATAGGAGGTTGCGCGATCTTGCAAATTTACAGGCGAGAACTACATTCTTGATAGGAGGATTCTTGATAGGAGGTCGTAGGAATACGCCCTTAGTGATGTGTGTAATAGGGGGCAGAACTGTTAGGGTTAGGTTTATGTGTCCCAACCAACCTTAGTCAAACAAATACTTTCAACCTGTGGGATCCCGCTAGAGCCTCTCGCGCCCGTTGCACGTAGTCGTCTGTTCCCGTTGCGCATGTTTCGTCCCGTAGCACCCTTAGCGCGTGCCCGTTCCGTTACGAATCGCCCTTAGCGCTCGCACTCCCCGTCGCGTCGCGTCCCCTTCCCGTCCCGTTCTCTGCCCATCCCGTCCCCTGCTCGTCCCATCCTCTGCCCGTCTCGTCCCCTGCCCGTCCAGTCCCCTGCCCGTCGCGTCCCCTGCCCGTCGCGTCCCCTGCGCATCGCGTCCCCTGCCCGTCGCGTCCCCTGCGCATCGCGTCCCCTGCCCGTCGCGTCCCTTGCTCGTCGCGTCGCGCTGCCGTCCTATCCCCTGCCCGTTGCGTCCCCTGCTCGTCGCGTCGCGCTGCCGTCCCGACCCCTGCCCGTCACGTCCCCTGCCCGTCACGTCGCGCTGCCGTCCCGTCCCCCGTCCGTCGCGCCCCCGCTGCGCTCTGCCCGTCCGTGGTGCCCCATGCGCCCTGCCCGTCCGTGGCGCCCCCGCTGCGCCTTGCCCGTCTGTTGCGCCCCGCGCGCCCTGCCCGTCCGTCGCGCCCCGTGCGCCCTGCCCATTCGTCTCGCCCCGTGAGCTCTGCCCGTTTGCGCCTGTCGCGCCCGTCCCTGCCAGTTGCGTCCTGTCCTGTCGCGCCACACTGTCTGTCACGCTCTACACAGGCCCTTCTGACATTTAGGGTTTCAGCAACAGCAGTTCCCACCCCTTCGCTACCGCTATGGCGACCCCTTGGGTTATGCGCTTTGACGCCGAGGGTAGGCCGCTTGAGTTCTCCGTCTGGCTCCTGCGTGCGTGCCGCCTTTTAGAGAGCCAGGTTCGGGCAGTTGAGTCTCTGTGGGCGCACGCTTCTGGAGATCTTCCTAAGCCCGAAGATCCTGCACCCTCAGGCACTGACCCTAGCGATGCATCCAGAGATCGTTATGCCCGCCAGCGTTCGGACCTCACAGCGTGGAAGTCGCGTGATGCTGCGGCCTGCATCCCCCTCAGCAGCCTCCTCCCTGAGTTTGAGGAGG